TTTAGTTTTTTATTTTATATGAATGGTTACAAGTGATAATAAATCTATTTATTTGTATTATTTTGATTATTGTAATTATTGTTTACATGGAAAACGCAATTATTGGATTGATTGGAAGTAGTTGCTTGTTCTTGATTCAGAAAATCTTGAATCGTCTTTGCCGAAGTTGAAACAAACATTTATTTCCTGATGATGGCCCGAGTCTATTTGCAGATATGGTTTTATTGAGTGGCTGCTACCAAAGCTGTTCTCCAATTCCCGTTTTGGCTACAGTTGAAACAGCAGTGGCCCTTACAAAATGATTTGTTATTTTGATCTCTTTAACATCAATTCCAATCAATGATGCAGAGGATTTGAACCAGATAGATATTGTATTCTGTCCAACTGGTCACAAATACCCTTACACCAATTTGGTTGAAATTTGCTACAGTTATTCAAAGTAATAAGGCTCTTATTTATCCCGAACTAGATTGAAATTATTATATCCAATGGCGTCCCAGTGGACACCACAGCCAACAATATTGGGAAAAAAAAGAAAGAATTTTTTTGTAGTTTTTTTTTGGATGTAGCAACTGGAAATGCAATTTTTTCGTTGCTTGTATTTTCTTTATATCAAAATTCGTTTTCGAGAAAAAAACGATATAAAATAAAAACCAAAGGAAATAATAAACAATTTCGACCTTGTATTAAATGAACAAAATGTCCACCTTCTAATAAAATAGGTACACGACTGCAATCGTTCATTGTTTGTCAGACACGTTCAAAAATAGCTAGAGTCATTTCCATCTAGTACAGGAGTTTTGATATGACAACACTATCACTGTCATTTCAAAACTACAAGTGAGTGGCTTACTTCTTTCCAAATATTGTTGGCTGTTGTGCCCACTAAAGCCCACTGGGACGCCTTATTATTTCAAATAACTGCAGCAAATTTTACTCCATTTATCTCAGAATTGAACCAACTTCGGACAAATGTTCATGATAACTTTTTTTTAAACGACCTAACGAATCACCCTCTGAAGTTTCGTACCGTAGTGTACTATGACGATGTAATAATAACTATTCGATAAATATTTCGTGTGAACATGGCCACCATCAACTTTTTTTTAATATGGACCTGTCTTTTTTATTGCAAATATTGATATAAAGCAATAAATTCACAATCCGAGGGGTTATCACATTCGATATATGCATGATAAAAGCATGATTGAAGAAACGGCCTGTACACTGCAGTTTTTATTAAAACTTGCATATGTTTCATTTCTTCAGACCTAAATGAACAAATAGAACTTAAAATGAATGATTATTATTTCCGTTGGTCCAACTAAGTTTTCTGCCTTATCATTATGCTTTCAACCTGAGTTTGTACTGGTCAGGAAGTCTTAGAGCCGCGTTATATCGATGGATATAGGACGAGACCGCAACAAAGTCTCAGACCTCCGCGGCACTTCCTGCACCTTGTTCAGGAACCTATATACCCATTACGTGACTACGGTAGACTAAGGTGTTGAAGTCCTCGTTCTGGCAGGCCATCCAGTACCATTCTGTCATGTAGACACTTCATCACAAGTCTACGGCCCCCTTATTGTCCATTATTGTCGGGGAAAGTACAACCGTGGAACGGCAAATGTAGGATGCAAACTCCTATGAAGGAGCATCATTTTTCGGGTCCATGCGTCGAGTTGATACAGCTTCTCCCGAGTCCACTGTACTACTCCAAAGAAGTAGAGTAAGATTGGAACAGCAAGCATATTTATTGCAGCCACTTTGTTCATCCTCGACAGTTGTGATGACCAAAGCTGTCGGAGTTTGTGTTGATACTCGCCGAGGAGAGAGTTCTTTACTGCTGTCACCTCTTGTGAGTGGCGTTGTTCCACCCCGAGGAAAGTATACGTCTCTCCGGCATCCAGATAGTGCAGGATGCTTTAATCTACGAGCTGACTTTTTTTATATTTCCCCTAAAAATATTTCCCTTTCAATTTGATTACTATTTGTTCCATATCATCAATGAAAATGTATCGAAATGAAAATGAAAATGAAAATAGTATCCTACTGAAACTGATTCATTTTTCAAACTATATCTATGAATTGAAAACGTACTTTAATTTTCATTGAACCAAATCAAACGATCTTTCTAAGATAGAATTAGCCAAAGATTAAAACTTCTAAATCATTTCTTGAGAAATTTACTCGTTTCAAAGTTTCGATGAGTTAATTCCCTAAATCAAACTTTACATTGAAAAGTTTGGTAAAAAGAGCAATCGAACGTGAAAAGTGCTGAGAAACGGTCTGCATCAGTTGTTTGGTTGTATTCTGTGGGGAGGTATTAGGAGTTTTTGAACAAATTCAGGGACAAATAAAATATTCTTGTCGCCGCAGCTATGAATTCAGATGATGGTATTTCATATTACCTTCTTGAGTCGACTCAAAAAATTTTATGGTGTAGTATTTCATGAAATATTTTGCAAGATATTGACAGTTAGTTCAACCAATTAGAAATATTTTATCATCATGATTTTATATTCAATTCATTATTAGAAAACATTTTCTCATACTTCGTTCTATAAGACTCACTATCAACCACAAAAGTTCCACGGAACTATACGAACACTCACAGCCGGCTTTCACCAAAATGACTATCCCGTATCCCAAATACAAAGATTCATATATACAACGACAGCAAACACAAACCTCACCCCACGAGTTATCCGAGGCACAGACCAACCAGACAAAAGCTTTTCTTCTCTACATCCTTGGAGTTACTGACAAAGTGAACCGAATTCTGAAGAAACATAACGTAAAGATAGTATTCACATCCAACAACCAAATCTCCACTATGCTAAAAACTCCCACGGACACGTAACGCACTGAAGCACAGGGCATATACGAAATACCATGTTCAAACTGTCCCAAAACTCATATCAAACAGACCAATAGAAGAATTTCCAACAGAGCCTATGAACATGATCAAGCTGTTCGCAAATCAGATCTAGCACTAGCTCTTTTCAAACACCACCAGGAAACACCCCACACAATAAGCTTCGAAAACACCATGACCATTGCTACGGGGAAAAATCTCCAGGCCACAATAATTCGGAAAGTAATCGAAGAGTAATGAAAAACGTCCCAACTGCCTTAACAAACGAGATGATTCGCAGAGACTACCACATACATGGAAGACATTGTTGTCACGCAAGATACCTGAAAATACCTCAGGTACCCGGTCAGGCAAACCAAACAGAGTGATCAGTGCGAACTTAGAGTGGAACACAGCAAACATAGAGCTAGTAACGAGACTTGGGGACAAGGGAGATTACGACCTCGTCCTCGAGTCATGTAAGTACAAATCTAAGTGATTCTTGAAAATGGCTCCAAAGTAGGAGCCGAAACGTTTAAACGACGAAAATTACAAAAAATTACAACCTTTATAACTGGGGTTCATACCCCATTTATAAAGGTAGATAATTTCATAAATGGGGTATGAACCCTTTTCTTTATAATTCAAAATGTTTTAAATTTTTTTTTAGTTTTCGGTACTCTGATTGCTATTTCTTCATATTATTGATTCAGAATAGGGATTGGTTTGGAAATTAATCTTCTTTATCCCCTTATTGAAATCCCCGCAAAGATTATACCCCTCTGTATCAGCAATAAAAGATTTTATCACACAAAGATTGGCATATGAAGTTGTTTTGTTTTCAATTTCGATGCTAAATAATTTACATGAATTTATTTTCAGAAATTTTTATTTTTTCATAAATTTAATATTTAATTTAGCCCTTCTATTGAAAATTGGAATAGCCCCCATTCCATTCTTGATTCCCCGAGGTTATAGAAGGTTTAAATTGAATAGCATTCACTTTATTAAGTTGGCAAAAATCAAGTTCTATTGTTATTATCATTATTACTGCTATAGTTAGAGGAATTTTATTATTAATTCAAATTAAATTACGAACAATTTCTGCTTATTCCTTTATTACTCATATAGCTTGAATATTAGCAAGAATTGTTTTTATAAAAATTAATTGATTTTGGTTACTTTCTAATTTTAATAGACATTATTTTTCTATTNTGATTCCCTGAAGTTATAGAAGGCTTAAATTGAAGAATAGCATTTACTTTATTGACTTGACAAAAATTAAGCCCAATAGTTATTTTAATGTATAGGCTTAATACAATTAATTTTTTGGTTTTTATCATTATCTCTTCAGCAATGGTTAGAGGAATTCTAGGTTTAAACCAAATTAGATTACGAAAAATTTTAGCTTATTCCTCCATTAACCACATAGCTTGAATATTAGCTAGAATTCTGTATATAAAAATAATTTGATTTTGATATTTCTGTATTTATTTCTTAATTTTAGTGAATATTATTGTCATATTAGAAATTTTCCAAATTTTTTACCTAAAACAATTATTTAATTCTATAAATCAAAATAAATTAATAAAATTATTTTTTATTCTAAATTTTTTTAATTTAGGTGGTTTGCCTCCCTTTTTAGGGTTTCTCCCTAAATGGTTAATTTCAAATAATTTGATTGAAAATAATTTTTTTTTTGTAAATTTTATTTTAATTATCTTTACATTAATTCCGCTTTTTTTTTACATACGAATAACTTTTTCAACGTTGACATTTTTTCAGAATGAATTTATTTTCTCTATTCCAACTACATTGAAATTTTGAATTATTTTATTAAATAGATTTACTTTAGCTGGACTATTAGTTTGTACTAGAATTCTTAGAATTTTCTAAGGATTTAAGTTAGCTTAAACTTTCAACCTTCAAAGTTGACAACAGATTTTTATCTAAGCCTTAAAAATTATTTTACCTTTAAATTTGCAATTTAAAATCATTATTGACTATAAGACTGGAAGAAATTTTAATTTCGTAAATAAATTTACAATTTATTGCCTATTCTCAGCCATTCCACCGAACAAATGATTATTTTCTACTAATCATAAAGACATTGGAACTTTATATTTTATTTTTGGTGTTTGAGCTGGAATATTGGGTACTTCTTTAAGAATTCTAATTCGGGCAGAATTAGGGAATCCTGGTACTTTAATTGGCAATGATCAAATTTATAATGTTATTGTTACCGCTCATGCTTTTGTAATAATTTTTTTTATAGTTATACCAATTATAATTGGGGGATTTGGTAATTGGTTAGTCCCCTTAATATTAGGGGCCCCTGATATGGCCTTCCCTCGAATAAACAATATAAGATTCTGACTTCTACCCCCCTCTCTTTTATTCTTAATTATAAGATCCATTGTTGAGAGAGGAGTCGGAACAGGATGAACAGTTTACCCCCCTCTATCATCTAATATTGCACATAGTGGATCTTCTGTAGATTTAGCTATTTTTAGTTTACATTTAGCAGGAGTTTCCTCTATTTTAGGAGCTATTAATTTTATTACTACTGTTATAAATATACATCCTGTAAGAATAAAATTAGATCAAATACCCCTTTTCTCTTGAGCAGTTATAATTACTGCTATTCTCCTTCTTTTATCATTACCTGTCTTAGCTGGGGCTATTACTATACTTTTAACTGACCGTAATCTTAATACTTCTTTTTTTGACCCTTCAAGAGGAGGAGACCCTATTCTATATCAACATTTATTTTGATTTTTTGGTCACCCCGAAGTATATATTCTTATTCTACCTGGATTTGGAATAATTTCCCATATTATTAGTCAAGAAAGAAGAAAAAAAGAAGCTTTTGGAACATTAGGAATAATTTATGCTATAATAGCAATTGGACTTTTAGGTTTCATTGTTTGAGCTCATCACATATTTACTATTGGAATAGACGTAGATACACGAGCTTATTTTACTTCTGCAACAATAATTATTGCTGTGCCTACTGGAATTAAAGTTTTCAGATGACTAGCCACTTTCCATGGCACTCAAATTTTAAATAACCCAGCTACTTTATGATCCTTAGGATTTGTATTTCTTTTCACTGTTGGTGGACTAACAGGTGTAATTTTAGCCAATTCCTCAATTGATATCATCCTTCATGATACTTATTATGTTGTTGCCCATTTTCACTATGTGTTGTCTATGGGGGCTGTATTTGCAATTTTAGCAGGACTAGTACATTGATTCCCGTTATTCACAGGACTAACTTTAAATAATAAATATTTAAAAATTCAGTTTTTTACTATATTTATTGGTGTAAATTTAACATTTTTTCCGCAACACTTCTTAGGCCTAAGAGGTATACCTCGTCGTTATTCGGATTACCCCGATAGATTTACTCTATGAAATATTATTTCATCTATTGGATCTTTAATTTCCTTAGTAAGAGTAATTTTCTTTTTATTTATCCTATGAGAATCATTCACCCTTCAACGAAAAAATTTAGGGGCTTTTAACTTAAATTCATCTATTGAATGGCTTCAAAATTTCCCCCCTGCTGAACATGGTTACTCAGAATTACCTTATTTAACTTCTAAGTTCTAATATGGCAGATTAGTGCACTGGATTTAAACCCCATTTATAAAGTTTAAACTTTTTTTAGAAATGATGACTTGAAAAACTATAATACTTCAAGATAGGGCTTCACCTTTAATAGAGCAATTGACTTATTTTCATGACCATACATTAATAATTTTAATTATTATTACAGTATTAGTAGGTCAATTGATACTTAGATTATTTTTAAATAAATTCTCCCATCGATATTTACTTGAAGGACAGACTATTGAAATTATTTGAACTATTTTACCCACAATTACTTTAATTTTTATTGCTATTCCTTCGTTACGTTTAATTTATATTTTAGATGAAATTAATAATCCTAGGATTACTATTAAAACAATTGGACACCAATGATATTGATCTTATGAATACTCTGATTTTAAAAATATTGAATTTGACTCTTATATATTACCTACTAGAGAGTTAAATAAATTCAATTTTCGTCTTTTAGATGTTGATAATCGGGTGGTAGTACCCTTTAACTCCCAAGTCCGTATGCTAGTAACTGCAGCTGATGTTATTCATTCCTGAACAATTCCCTCATTAGGTGTAAAAATTGATGCAACACCTGGGCGTCTAAATCAAATTAGATTTTTACTTAATCGTTCTGGGTTATTTTTTGGTCAATGTTCTGAAATTTGTGGTGCTAATCACAGATTTATACCTATTGTTATAGAAAGAATCTCTCCATCTTATTTTTTAAAATGAGTTTTTAAAATAACTAAAGAATCATTAGATGGCCGATAATAAGCAATGGAATTTTAAACCATTTTATAGTATATTTTACTTCTAATGAAAAATTTAGTTAAAAAATAACATTAACTTGTCAAGTTAAAATTATTATAATTATTAATTTTTAATCCCTCAAATAATACCTTTAAATTGATTGACTTTATTTTTTTTCTTTATTTTTTTATTCTTTTTATTTAATGTCCTAAATTATTTTATTTTTATTTACAATACTAAACCCCTAAAAATTAAAAAAACAAAAATTAACTATTCTTGAAAATGATAATAAATTTATTTTCTTCCTTTGATCCTTCATCTAATTTTAATTTATCTTTAAACTGATTAAGATCCCTGATTGGCTTACTAATTATTCCCCCTTTATTTTGAGCTATTCCCTCACGACTTAGAATATTTTGAATAAAAATTATTTTTTCATTACACACTGAATTTAAAACACTAATATCTACTAAATATCAGGGTAGAACTATTATATTTGTATCATTATTTTCATTTATTCTTTTTAATAATTTTTTAGGGTTATTTCCCTATATTTTTACTTCAACGAGTCACTTAATTCTTACATTAGCTTTAGCCCTTCCTATATGAATTAGATTTATAATTTACGGGTGAATAAATAATACTATTCATATGTTTGCCCATCTAATACCTCAAGGGACACCCCCAATTCTTATACCTTTTATAGTATGTATTGAATCTATTAGAAATATTATTCGCCCTGGTACACTCGCTATTCGTCTCTCTGCTAATATAATTGCAGGCCACCTATTAATGACACTACTTGGTAATACAGGACCTTCCTTATCTTTAATAATCTTAAATATTTTATTAATTATTCAAATTTTACTTTTAATTCTTGAGTCGGCAGTTTCTATTATTCAATCTTATGTATTTACTGTTCTAAGTACTCTTTATTCTAGAGAAATTCATTAATGTCAATACTTAAAAATCACCCCTTTCATCTTGTTGATATTAGTCCATGACCAATTTTAGGATCTTTTAGGGCTATGATTACCTTATTAGGATTAGTCAAATGATTCCACCTATTCAAATTAGACCTATTTTTATGAGGACTAATAATTATACTATTAGTTATATACCAATGATGACGAGATGTCGTTCGAGAAAGAACATTCCAAGGACATCATACGCTGAAAGTTACCTTAGGCTTACGTTGAGGAATAATTCTTTTTATTATTTCAGAAATTTTTTTTTTTATTTCATTTTTTTGAGGATTTTTTCATAATGCTTTAGCTCCTAGAATTGAAATTGGTATGATATGACCTCCTAAAGGAATCCAAACTTTCAATCCTTTAGAAATTCCATTATTAAATACATTAATTCTTTTAACCTCTGGATTGACAGTTACATGGGCCCATCACAGTCTAATAGATAATAATTATAATCAAGCAATTCAAAGATTATCATTAACAGTTATACTCGGTATTTATTTTACTATCTTACAAGCTTATGAATATTTAGAAGCCCCATTTACTATTGCTGACTCAATTTATGGATCTTCTTTTTTTATAGCAACAGGATTCCACGGTCTTCATGTAATAATTGGAACAACCTTTTTATTTGTTTGTCTAATCCGACATTATTTTCTTCATTTCTCTTCCTACCATCATTTTGGATTCGAAGCAGCAGCATGATACTGACATTTTGTAGACGTAGTTTGACTATTTTTATATATTTCTATTTATTGATGAGGTAGATATTTGTATAATATAATTATTATATTTGACTTCCAATCAAAAAATCTAAATCCTAGTACAAATAATTTTTATTATTTTTATAATTACCGTAATAATTTTTTTTATCCTTTTTATTTTAACTATTATTTTAAATTTATCATCGAAAAAAAGTTTCTCAGACCGAGAAAAAAGAAGGCCTTTTGAATGCGGATTTGATCCTAAATCTACTGCCCGACTTCCATTCTCATTACAATTTTTTTTAATTGCTATTATTTTTTTGATTTTTGATGTTGAAATTACTCTTTTACTACCAATAATTCTAGTTATACCATGAAGAAACGTATTTAATTATTCTCTAATTTTAAATTTTTTTATTATAATTTTAATTATTGGATTATTTCATGAATGAAATCAAGGAGCTTTGAACTGAGCCTATTTGGATAATAGTTAACTATAACATTTAATTTGCATTTAAAAAGTATTGAATCATCAATTTATCTAAAAATAAGAAGCAAAGTTTGCATTTAGTTTCGACCTAAAAATTTGATTTTTAATCCTTATTTAATTGAAACCAAAAAGAGGTATATCACTGTTAATGATAAAATTGAAATTTTTCCAATTAAAGAAATATGGGACCCAAATATAAGCTTCTAACTTAATATTTAAGCGATGAAAATTCGTTTATATTTCTTTTTATATAGTTTAAAAAAAACATTACATTTTCATTGTAAAATTAGAGATATCTTATAATATTCATAAATATTTTATTACCTTAGTATCTTCAATACTATGCTCTAAATTAAGCTATATGAATATAAAATATTAAAAATTAAAAATATTAATCAACAAACAAATAAAGATAAGTAAATTTTTATATGATTTTTTGATATAAGTTGAACAAATATTATTTTTTTAAATAATTTATATAAATTTTGACCACCATAATATTCTAATCATCCTTGATCTATATTATTTATATAAATTTTCCCTAAAAAAATTGGGAAATAATTTACCCCATAAGTAGATAATAAAGGTAAATTAATTATTATTCTAAAAAATTTTACAGTTTTAAAATTACATTTTATTTTTAATAAATAAAAAATTTTAAATTTAGAAACTTCTATTCCAATTCAAACTCCTAAAATAATAAATACCAAAGTTATTAATTTTATTTGATAGGGTAAACAAATAAAATAAGGTGTTGGAAAAATTAATCATCTTATTATCCTCCCTCTAAATACCACAAATAAAATTAAACCAAATATTGATTTTAATATAATAAATCTTGTTTCCCTAAGCCTATTTAAAGAATGAAAATTAAAGGTTCCTATTAAAGAGTAATAAGCTAATCGGAATCTATAACAGACTGTTAAGCCAATTGAAATATAATAAATACTATAAATAAATACATTTAAATTCCCAAATGATATAAATTCTACTACTAAATCCTTTGAATAGAATCCAGATAAAAAAGGTAATCCACATAAAGAAAAATTTCTAATATTAAAATATACACAAGTTATTGGCATATGATAAATTAAACCCCCTATATAACGAATATCTTGACAATTACTTAAATTATGAATAATTCTACCAGCACATAAAAATAATAAAGCTTTAAATAAAGCATGAATTAATAAATGAAAAAAAGCTAATTTATACCTGCCTAAAGCTAAAATTCCTATCATAAAGCCTAATTGTCTTAAAGTTGATAAAGCAATAATTTTTTTTAAATCAAATTCAAAATTTGCTCTTAATCCTGATATAAACATTGTAATTCTAGCAATAAATAATAATAAATATATTAATCTTGAAGAAAAAGAATAATTAAAACGAATTAATAAATATACACCTGCTGTAACTAAAGTAGAAGAATGAACTAAAGATGAGACCGGGGTTGGAGCTGCTATAGCTGCGGGTAATCACGAAGAAAAAGGAATTTGAGCCCTCTTAGTTAAAGCAGCCAAAACTACTAAATATCTGATTAACTCTATATAAAAATTTCTTTTTATAATTTCCAAATAAAAAATAAAATTTCACCTACCAAAATTTATTATCCAAGCAATTGCTATCAATAATGCAACATCACCAATTCGGTTCCTTAAAGCAGTCAATATTCCAGCATTATATGACTTTAAATTTTGATAATAAACTACCAAACAATAAGAAACTAATCCCAAACCGTCCCATCCTAGTAAAATAGAAATTAAATTAGGACTAATAATTATAAATATCATTGATAGAACAAATATAACAACTAATAAAATAAATCGATTTAAATACAAATCACCTAATATATATTCTTGTCTATAATAAATAACCATAGATGAAATAAATAAAACAAATCTTATAAAAAATAAAGATATTCAATCAAATAAAATTACTATTTCAATTCTTCTAGAATTTAAGTTCAATAAATTTAATTCAATTACTATAGAATAATCTATACTTAAAAATAATAAAGCCAAGCTTAATATAAATAAAGAAATTATTAAAAATAAATAAAAATAAATTTGACAAATAGATATCATTATCTAAAATAATTAATTATTTCTTTGATTCCACAAATCAATATTTTTTCTAAACTATTTAGATAAATTCATAATAATAAATATTCCCTTTTTAAAATTAAAATATTTAAAGGATACCAATGAAGAAACAATAATAAATATTCACGATAAAATCCTTGATAAAACGAATATTTTCTCGAGTAATATTGACCATGTTGACTATAAGAATATAAAAATAATGAATAAGCAGCCCTAAAAAAAGAAAGAAAAACTAAAAAAATTATAGTTAAACTTCTAAATCTAACTAAAGTATTAATTAAAACAATCTCTCCTAATAAATTTAAAGAAGGAGGAGCTGCTATATTAGCTGCACATAATAAAAATCATCATAAAGAAAAACTTGGTATTAAATTTATTATTCCTTTATTTAAATAAATTCTCCGACTTCCAATTCGCTCATATGAAATATTAGCCAAGCAAAATAAACCTGATGAACACAGTCCATGGGCAATCATTATTACTAATGCCCCTCAAAATCCCCATCTTATTATTCTTACAATTCCTGCTAAAACTAACCCTATATGTGATACTGATGAATAAGCAATTAAAGATTTTATATCCCTTTGACGTAAACAAATTAATGAAACAATTACTCCTCCAATTAATGAAATATTTAAAATATAAAAATTTAATATTTTATTAATATCAGTAAATAAAATTAATACCCGCAATAATCCATATCCCCCTAATTTTAATATAATTCCGGCTAAAATTATTGACCCTGAAATAGGTGCTTCTACATGAGCTTTTGGTAATCACAAATGAATTATATATATAGGAATTTTAACAAAAAAAACTATATTTATACAAAAATATAATAAAATATCATTAGAATAAATAGTAAATACTATAAAATTTAATCTAAAAAATTTTTTATAAAAATAAAATAAACTAATTATTATTGGTAATGATATTAATAAAGTATAAAATAATAAATAGACCCCTGCCTCTACTCGATCTGGTTGATAGCCCCATCCAATTACTAAAATTAAAATAGGAATTAACCTAATTTCAAAAAATAGATAAAAAATAAATAAATTCATAGCAGAAAAAGTTAATAATAATCTTAATATTAGTATTACTATTACTAATAAAAATAAATTAAAATAATTCTTTTCATTAAATAATTTTTCTCTAGCTAAAATTATCAAACTACAAATTCAAAATCTCAGTAAAATTATTATAAAAGATAATAAATCTATACCAAAAACATATCTTAAATTTACTATCAAATATCCCGATCTAAAATTTAATATAAATATAAATGTTAAAATAAAAAAAATTCATTGCATTAATCAAAACTGATTTAAAAAACAAAGAGGAGTCAATATTAATATTCTTAAAATAAATTTTATCATAAACTAGAAAAAGTTAAAATATGATCATTTCCAAATGTTCGAATTATCAAAATTAAAATAGCTAAACCTAAAACACCCTCACAAACTCTTATAGTTAGAAAAATTATTATAAAAAAAAATTCATTTACTATATTTCTTAAAAAAAAATATATATTTAAATATAATGATAAAACACCGAATTCTAATCTTAATAGTATTAATAAATAATGTTTTCGATTAGAAATAAATACAATTAAAGCCCTAAAAAAAGTAAAAATATACAATATAAAATATATTATCATTAGTTTTTATAATTTAATATAAAATATTAGTTTTGTAAACTAAAATTAAGCATGTCTTTGAAAACATCAAGAATAAATATCTGATTTATCTTTAATCTCCAAAATTAAAATTTTTATTAAACTAATTCTTGAAATTATTATATTATTCTGCATCACTTGAATCATAGCTTTTTCTTTTATATTTATAAATCACCCCCTGTCCCTAGGATTAATTTTATTAATTCAAACTATTATAATTGCTTTAATTACTGGTACTATAAGAATAACTTTTTGATTTTCATATATTTTATTTTTAATTATAATTGGGGGAATATTAATTTTATTTGTTTATATAACTAGGGTTGCATCTAATGAAAAATTCAAATTTTCATCTATACTTTTTATTTCTTTATTTTTATTAATTATAATTTCCTTATTATTCAATTTTATAGATAGTTTTTATTTCTCTCTCTATGAACATTTAAATGAAATAATAAATTTTAGTACTAATTATAATTTTTTCCTATCAATTAATAAATTTATAATATTCCCCAATAATTTAATTATCTATTTAATAATTTTTTATTTACTAATTACACTTATTATAGTAGTAAAAATTACAGATATTTATTATGGGCCTTTACGACAAAAATTTTAATGAAAATACCCTTACGAAAAATTTCTCCTTTAACTAAAATTATTAATAATTCTCTTATTGATCTTCCCACACCTTCAAATATTTCATCTTTATGAAATTTTGGATCTTTATTAGGATTATGTCTTTTAATTCAAATCCTAACTGGACTATTTTTAGCAATACATTATTGTCCTAATATTGAACTAGCTTTTAATAGAGTATCACATATTTGTCGTGATGTTAACTATGGTTGATTAATTCGTACTCTTCATGCTAACGGGGCATCATTTTTCTTTATTTGTTTATACTTACATATTGGACGAGGTATTTATTATAGATCATACATACTAACTGAAACATGAATAATTGGTGTAACAATTTTTTTTATAGTTATAGCAACAGCTTTCTTAGGGTATGTCCTACCTTGAGGTCAAATATCATTTTGAGGGGCAACTGTTATTACAAATTTAATTTCTGCTATTCCTTATTTAGGTACTATAATCGTTCAATGAATCTGAGGGGGATTTGCAATTGATAATGCTACACTAACTCGATTTTTTACCTTTCATTTTATTTTACCTTTTATTGTTTCAGCTTTAATTATAATTCATTTATTATTTTTACATCAAACTGGATCAAGGAACCCCTTAGGAACAAAAAGAAATATTGATAAAATCCCCTTTCATCCTTATTTTTCATTTAAAGATTTAGTTGGATTTATTATTTTATTATTCGCATTAATTTCCTTGACCTTATACCAACCTTATTTATTAGGTGATCCCGACAATTTTACTCCTGCTAATCCCTTAGTTACTCCAATTCATATTCAACCAGAATGATACTTCCTATTTGCTTATGCAATTTTACGTTCCATCCCAAATAAATTAGGGGGTGTATTAGCTCTGGTATTTTCTATTGCTATTCTCTATTTAATACCTTTTATCAATAAAAAAAATTTTTTAAGATTACAATTTTATCCATTAAATAAAATCTTATTTTGAATATTTTTTTCAATTGTTATTCTTTTAACATGAATTGGTGCTCGCCCAGTTGAAGACCCATTTATTTTAATTGGACAAATTCTTACTATTAACTATTTTTTATTTTATCCATTAAATTCATTTATCGCAAAAATATGAGATAAATTAATTTTCTAATCAATGAACTTGTTTAAGTATATACTTTGAAAGTATAAAAAAGAAATAATAATTTTCTATTGATTTATACTAGATTTTATTAACTATAAAAAATAGGTATAAATACCTAACTTTAAACCATAATATATAAATAAATAATTTAAAGCAATAGGTAAATACCTTTTTCATGCTAAATATATCAATTTATCGTATCGATAACGAGGTAATGTTCCTCGCACTCAAATTCAAATAAATGCTATAATTCCTACTTTTAAAAAAAAAGTATAAGAAATTATATTTCTACCTAAAAATATAATCCTACAAATTATTCTTATTAATAAAATATTTCTATATTCAGCTAAAAAAATTATGGCAAATCCCCCACTTCTATATTCTACATTAAACCCAGATACTAATTCCGACTCCCCTTCCGCAAAATCAAAAGGAGTTCGGTTAGTTTCGGCTAGTCTAGAAACAACCCATATTATTCTAATAGGAAATATTAAAAAAATAAATCAAGTAAATTCTTGAAATTTAGAAAAATCTATTAAATTTACTCTCATAATTATAAATAAAAAAGATATTAAAATAAGAACTAATCTTACCTCATAAGAAATGGTTTGTGCAACAGAACGTAATCTTCCTAATAAAGAATAGTTTGAATTAGAAGATCATCCTGCTAACATAATTGTATACACTCTAAGACTAGAAATACATAAAAAAAATAATATTGATAAATTAAACCTTAAATTAACTGTTAAAAATGGGATACAAATTCAAATTAATAAAGAAAAAAATAAATTTATCAAAGGAGATATATAATATAAATTAAAATTTGATATTAAAGGATAAGTTTGCTCTTTTGTAAACAATTTAATCGCATCACTAAAAGGTTGAATAAATCCTAATACTCCAACTTTATTTGGCCCTTTACGAAGCTGAATATATCCTAATACTTTCCGTTCTAATAATGTTAAAAAGGCAACCCCTACTAATACACAAACTAATAATAATAAAGTTAATACTATTATTAAAAATAAATCTTTTATTAACATTTATTACATGTATTATCTACATAAAAAGATTCTAAATCTATCGCACTAATCTGCCAAAGTAATACTTAATATTATTCAAATTTAAAAATAAAATTTAAATATTTGATCCTTTCGTACTAAAATATATTAACTATTTAAAGATAGAAACCAACCTGGCTTACACCGGTTTAAACTCAGATCATGTAAAATTTAAAAAGTCGAACAGACTTAATAATTTAGCCTCTACACCAAATTTTAATTTTAATCCAACATCGAGGTCGCAATCTTTTTTTTTAATATGAACTCTCTAAAAAAATTACGCTGTTATCCCTAAGGTAATTTTTTCTTTTAATCAAAATTTTTGGATCATAAATTCATTAATTAATGTAATTTTTAAAAAAAAGTTTATTAAATTTTTCAATCACCCCAACTAAATTATTTTATATTTACTTATATTAATTCTTAAATAAATAATTTTTCACATAATTAAACTCTATAGGGTCTTCTCGTCTTTTAAATAAA